ATTTCTATACTATAAAATATCTAAACTAAAATAATACAAATATAAGAAATAATACTAAAATACTAATAAATATAACTTATAAAAATATAATGTAAATTATGCTAAAATCTATCCTATAACACTATATTAACAATATTTTAAAAAATCTACAAGGTAATCTCTATCTTACAGATTATGTATATAAGCTGCATCCTATACAGAATATTTAGAAAAACTACGATTTGTTTATTACTACAACTATTATCTTCAAATATTTGTATCAATAGTTATCACATATCATAATTTATATAATAATAATAAAAAATTTGTAATATTGCAAATGTATATAGAACTAAACATATATTTTATTTTATTGAATGAATGACCACTTCAACTTCATAAGGTCTAATTCTTTTATATAATGCATATTTATCTGGAAGAAGGTAGTATTAGAGCAAGATACTTATACTACTTTCAAATATTGTATTTTAAAAAAAACTAACAATTAGATTCAGATAAACTATTTGGTCTAGTAAAACTATAGCTACTCATTAGATAAAAATGTTACTAGGCTAATTTTATTATTATGTAGTCTATTTGCTGTTTTTAGAATAAAAAGTTAAAAAAATTAATTCTGTTCAAAAATTATATAAACAATTATATAATGCAAGCCAAATTTTGTAAATTATGATTGTTAGTCAATCAAATTTTGGCATGGTAGCTAAGTCTTTTGATAAGATATGTTGTTGTAGTTACAGCATTATGGCTATGACATTACAGTTATAACATTATAGTTACGGCATTATGGCATTACAGTATATAATATTTATGGCAATCAGGTACTGTGATAAAATTAATTCTACCACATGGTAGAATGCCATAATGCCGTAATTCAGTAATTCTACCACCAACTATAGAAATACCAAAAGAAATTGTTGTAGAGTGATACGTTAAATTCAGTGATGTTGATTTTGCTTTCAATGGCAGTGACATTATTAATTCAAGTAACCTTTTAGTGATCTTCTAGTTACAACACTGCTTTAGATGCATTTCCAAGAATTTGCATATTTTAAAAATTAAAGATCAAGAATATATATTATTTATTGTCGTTGGTTTTAAGAATATTAGTCTTTATTCATGAATAATGTGATGACTTGTACAAAAATTATCACAGCTTACTATTATAATACTGCTTACATATGTTATTATATATTGGTTATTTCAATCATTTATTTTTTGGTTTGTATATAGATAACCTTTCGTTTTGTGATTTTGACACATAAATTTATTGTACTGATACTGTAGATTCACTGAAAATATACAAAATGATTATTATGCATCAATTTTGTATTGATCCTTTTATTTATTGTGCGCTGCTAAACTGGTGTTTATTATATTAAAACCTAAGACAAAATCAACTAAATTTTTTTAAAAATCAGTAAAAACTAAGGTATAATATATTCGTGTAACAAAGTCAACCAATAAAAAATTTTTTAATTTTTTTTTAATTAAAAAATCTAACGGTAATTGGCATTAGGTATTATACGGTATAATAACGGTTATTATACCAGGTTATTAAATAACCTGGTATTATACCTAAAATTTTAAATCTTCATATCGATATTATATTAATTAATTATTTGAAATAAAAATTCATAGAAAACAGTTATTTTTAATTGTTGTGAGGGGGGTTTTTTTTTTTTTAAATATGATAATAATTTGTAAATACGTACCGGTATTTATATATCTGTTAATTCGTTAACTGTTAATAAATATTTAATGTTAAATTTTTAAATGAGCGTATTAAAGTACTAATTACAGTAAAATCTCTCTAAGTGCACCAATGCACACTCTAATTTGGACCCAAATATATACTTTTAACCTCTATAAATGCACTTTTCTTAATAATTCTCTAAGTGCACGTTGCAAAAGTTGGGTGCGCTTAGAGAGGTTTTACTGTATATCTTATATTGTATTTATATCTTGAATATGTCTTGCCTAGTGATTTGAACCGGTTGGGCTATACGTAATCGGTTAACCGATCCGAATTGAATAAATTTCGGGTAACCAGTTGAGTAAATTCTTAATCGGTTGACCCGTACAACCGGTTGAGTATCGGTAATCGGTTGACAGGATGTAAATGACATCAAGAAGGAGCAAATTGTCCGAGAACTTCCGAAAAGAAAATGAATGAACATAAAAATTTGAGTAAAGGTTCGAGAACTTCCGAAGGTAAAGTGTGAAGTAATATTTCGGTTCTGTTACCCGGCTAAGGAATTTTTTCTCGGTTCAAATCACTAGTTACAAAAAGGAATATTTATAAATTTATTACGATAAATAATGTATTCACGTAATTGAATTGAGAATTTTAAGCACTAGATTAATAAATAATCTTTATACTTATAGACTAAATCATCAGGAGTGATCTATTTAAGAAGTTTTGATAAAGTTTGAGAAGTCACTTAGTGGGTAAGTATTTATGAAGATGTATTGACAGACTGAAAGTGACATGGTAATTATAATAAGTCATATGTTTCACGCTTAAATCAATAATAATAAAAAGTTAGTACGTACAATTGTGCTTAAGGCTAGGTAGGTCTTACAAGAGATGTTTATTATAAATTTTTTACATAAACTAATTGTGATAAATATATTGTAAGAATAAATACTGTCTTGATAATAACTGATGCTGTAATTAACCAATCAGAAGCGGTAGTTTCAGTTTCAGCCTCGGTCACCAATGTTTTAAAAAGTTTTTTAACAATTTTTTATCATCACTAATCTAGTTACGACATGGTTACTTAAGTACGCGCTCTTTCTAAATGGCATAGCATACACGCTGGTCTCCAGAGAGTGAACTTATTATAGAGGGTGTTACTACATCCAGTTTATTTGCAGGTTATCCGGTCCAATAAATTTGATTTAAAAAAATTGATTATATCCCGGCCCGACTTTTTTGAAATATAAGCAACGATATCACAGATTTTTTACCTATAATTAAAACAATCCGAAAAATATATCGAATTGATTCTTAAAAAAAAAAAACCACAATATGGTTATATTCAATTCTAGAGAGGCTTTTGCGAGAGGCTTATATATTTTACATAATTATAAGATAAATTATAAGATATGGTAAATGTATTGTTATCGCGATCGATTGCAATGTTTATATTTTTCAAAAACAAATAATAAAAATTTTTTAAAAGTTGGTTTTTATTAATTAATTTCATAATTAGCCTCGAAATTAATTATAAAATGAAACAAAATGATTCATTTTGAACGATATGCTAACTATTTTTGATAATATTGATATAGTAAACATACGATATTCGCTTTACCGTTAAAGGCTGTGTTCTTAAGGCTTAGTTGGATAAATTAATAAAGCGGATGCAACACTTCTCCATAATTTATTAAACGAGTGAATATTTATTAAACGAGTGAATTATTTTTTCCAAGAAACTAACTACCCTTTCCGTAAGATTATTTGTCTTCTGTGGGTGAACGAAGCCAAAAGATAAATCCTATTTCGAAATTACGCGATATTTTCTTTACGAAATTACAAAACATGAATAAAATGTCGAATGAACCCTTTCTTTGTTTATTATATGTTATATTTTTGTCAACATTAGTATTATCTCAAACTTCAACGAACGTACCACCTTCAAGTCCTACTAATAACCAAACACTTCCTATCAATCAAACAATTTCTATCAATCAAACACTTTCGAATCCTCCAACTGTTACAGCAAATGGAACCAATATTACCTCACCAGATTTGATGTTAGATCCCAGGATTTATTCACTTCTTTTGATCAAGAATAAGACGTACCGGAATACTCATGTTAGAATATTTACTTTTGATGACGATATATATTTTTTTAGAGATATGAATTTTGATAAATAGGCTTAAAATTCTTTTACTTTATATTTTGTCTTTGTATTTTTAGTGTCAATATATTTCAACTCCTCAACCAGAAGATAATATTAATATTAATGGTCGACTAGTTACTTGGAACTGTCCAGCTGGGTAATTTTTTTATTTTATTTTATTTTAAAAAAATACTGTAAAAAATCCGAATATTTATTATATTCACTAATATATATATTAAATTTTATATTAGATATTTTTGCCTCGGACCTAATAGTACTGATCGGGTTATAAGTGGATTAAATATTACTAATAGTTCTTCGAGTGGATCTAACGTTAATAATACCACTAATACGAGTCCAATGATTAAATGTCCACCTGGATTTTTTTGCCCGGAAAATTCAGGTAAATCCTGACCAGTATATACTGTATGTTAATAATCAATTATGTTTTAAATTATTCAAGTAATAAATTATTATTTTTTTATTTTTTTTTTTAATAGCACAACCTGTATATTGTTGTGAAGGTTATTATTGTTCTAGAGATGCTAAAAACATAACATTATGCCCAGAGAGTAAATATTTATACAAAAATTAATTATATTCTCATATTCATATTAAAATCCGTTAATAATTATTTAATTTAATTTATTAATTAATTAAAATTTTTAGCCTATTTTTGCAGTCTTGGTACTGTTAACCCAGTATATTGTGATCGCCTAGCATATTGCCCACCAGGCTCAAAAAAAGGAAATAAATTCATGGTTTTCTTATTAGTTTTGATAGTTGCAATAGTAATTATGATATTATTTCAAATTAAGAAAAAAAGGGATGAATTGAAAAATGCGAAATATGATAAATTATTAACAGATCAAAGAATGAGTTTGGAAAGATCTTTGGATCCAGTGAAAAGAACTTTTGATATTGAATTTGAAAATTTGGGATTAGTGCTGCCATCGGGTATTGAAATTATGAGGGTATGATTCTATTGATAAAATTTTTTTATTTTATTTTTGAACTTTTGAACTATTTTAGAAATGAGTTTTTTTTTTTTTTTTTTTTAAAGAGTGTATCAGGAAAACTTACACAAGGAAGAACATGTGCAATTATGGGCCCATCTGGTAAGTTATTTGATAAATACAAAAGGTTTATTTATTTGACATTTTTATAGTAGATTATTGATTAATTGTTATTTAGGTGCGGGTAAGACTACTTTTGTGTCACTTTTGACCGGCAAAGCAAAGAAGACAAGTGGTGTAGTAAAAGGTAGTTAAATAAGATTTTTGACTTTTAAATGATTATAATAATTTATATAAATAATTACATTGTAGTTAATGGAGTAATTGAATCACTGGAAAAATATAGAAAACTTATTGGTTTCGTGCCTCAAGAGGGTATTCTTTTGAATTTTGTTTATTATTTAGCTTAAATTTTGAATTAATATTATAATTAATATTTTGTTAATTAATATTTTAATTAATATTTTATTAATTAATATTTTATTAATTAATATTTTAATTAATATTTGAATTATAATATTATTAATATTTGATTCATAAACTTTATAGACGTAATGCTTCGTGAATTAACTGTACGCGACATATTATTGGTATGATATTAAACAATTTTTTTTATATATTTATAATGATTTTATTTTGGTTAAAATATTTAGATTCACCAATTTTATAAATAATATATAGCATTCCGCATTAATGAGGTTACCAAATGATATGCCTCGATCGGAAAAGAAACAAAGAGTCATCGAAGTAATTAGATTTTTAGAGTTGAGTCACGTGATGGAGTCAATAATTGGAAATGAAGGTAAACTTTTTTTTTTTATTTTATTAATATTGATTTTATAAATTTTTTAAAATATACTTATTTATGAAATTTTTTGTTAAAATAGAACAACGTGGTATTTCTGGTGGTCAACGTAAACGTGTAAACATTGGGATGGAATTGGTTGCAGAACCATCTGTGCTTTTTTTAGTAATAATTATTAATAATTATCTATTTAATATGATAATAAAATATGATATAATTTTTTAACAAGAGTATAAAATTATTTTTTTTAGGATGAACCAACTTCAGGTCTTGATTCAGCTACAGCACTTGAAGTGTGTAATTTGTTGAAAAAGATTGCACATGGTCAAGGATTAACAGTAGCCGCAGTTATTCATTCACCATCTCCACAAGCCTTTAATACATTTGATGACTTTTTATTATTGGGTAAAGGAGGAAGGATAGTATATTTTGGACCAACAAACAAAGCAATGGAGTACTTTCAGACTCTTGGTTTTAATTGTCCAGAAGAAGAAAGGTATTGATTGACCAATTCATTATTATTATTAATAATTAATATGCATACGTTCTTGTATTTAATTTATTTAAATTGAGTGTAGTCCAGCCGATTTTATGATGGAAATAGCATCTGGTAAAATTCAGCCCGCAGATAGGTCAGATATTACAATTATTGATCTGTTCGAAACATGGGAAAGATATCGAGAATCAGAAAAAGCGGCATTTAGATCACCTTCTACAATGCATGATACAAAAATTGGAGGGTTTGAAAAAGATGATGAAGCTCTCCTAGGAGAAGAAGAACCACCCAAAAAACGTCGCAACTGTTTCGTGGCGTTTTGGCAAGAAGTCTGCATACCGTTTATCCACTTAATTAATGATATTGGTGAATACATAGCTGATGTAGGCTCAGAATTCTCCGAATTTATTACACGAACATTTTGCTTCTATCGAAAAGATCCAATTCGAGAAACGCCAAACATATTAGTGGCATTTATATTATTATTTAAAAGAGCTTGTATACAACTTTATAGAAACAGAACACAATTTTTGTTGGATCAGCTATTACATCTTGGATGTGGGATTTTCATTTCTTTGGCAGTTGGTAATTTGGATTATGTTGGGAAACCTCCTAGAGAAATTTGCGAGATTACTCCATATGTTGTTATACCTGTCTGTTTGGGTGCTCATGATTCACTTCAGGTAACACTTTTTATTTCATTTTGTATTTTATATAACTTGTATCTGTCATGGTCTTTCTTTTAGAACGTTGGAGTGTTCATGTCACTCGGAGTGACATTTGCAGGGATTAGTGGTACTGTATTAATCATATTTTATTTTAATTTATTTAAATGATTTTGATTTATGAAATTTTGTTTTTTTTAATGCATACATAGCTGGAGGTTCAACATTTGGTTACGAAAAAGTAGTTTACTGGCGAGATACATCATCAGGAATGCGCACGATTCCATATTTTTTAGCCAAAATAGTTGCAGATATACCTCGTTTACTTATTGCGGCACTAATGTTTTCATTAGCATTTATTATATTTTATTCATTTCGAGCCAAGCTTTGGGAAATTTATATTATTATTTTATTTACTTATACCGCCGCATGGGCGATGGGTAAGTTTTTCCTCATATTAAAAATGAACCGTTAGAATTATTTAACTGAAAAACTTTTTTCAACTAGGTTATTTCATATCAGGGTTGGTCTCAAAAGAAAAATTAAGTCTTGTTGGAACAGGGTTTGCACTTGGTTGGGGTATGGTGTTAAGTGGTGCAACTCCTAAATTAGAAGAAGTTAATAAAAGTAGTTATATAAAATGGTTATGGGATGTATGTATATAAATGTTTTTTTTGCTTTTTTTTTTTTTTTTTTTCTGTTTTGATAATGAGTTTTAAATTAAATTGTTATGTGTCTAGATTTCAGCACAAAGATGGGCAGTTGAAGCATTATATCTTAAAGAAATAGCGCCTAGATTGTATGTATTAAACATTCTGATTACTTTGGGTATTTGAAATATTCTATAATATAATTTTTTTTTTTTTTTTTTACTTATAGATGGAATGAAATTAAAACTGAACCATTAGGTCATACTTATAGTTTTAATGATTATCCACAATGTTTATGGAATATTTTAATAATTGCATTGGGATGGGCGATACTTGCATTTCTAGCTATGAAGTTGGCTTACAGAGACAAACAAAAGTAAAATGATAATATATAAGTTATCATAAAATTAAAAATAGAATATGATTTTAAATAAATAAATAAATAAATAAATATTGTAAAAGATAAACTTTTAGATTATCACTCACAATAAATTAAACTAATTTATGAGTAATTATAAAACCATTATAATATTTATTGACTTTAAAGAAATTTTTTATTTCAAGATATGCATATCTTTATGAAGTTTATCGCGGATTGAAAATTGAACTTTTGAATATAATGAATTTATACTACACTAAACTGCTTATATAACATCGGAATATTTATAATACTGTAATTCATATATTTAAATTACAATAAACTTATTGTTATAATCTGTTTTATACCGTATTTAAATATCCGATATCGTAATATCCGTAAGAAATCCTTAGGAAATAAATGACCTAGAAAAAAAAAAAAAAACTAAGACATGAACTAGGACGAATTAGAGTGGATTGTTTTTTTTTACGTACTGGGATGTAGTTAGTTCATTTTGCATTATCTTTACAGACATTATACAGTAAAAATATATTATTTAAGCAGCACGACCTTTGAATTAATTTTAAAGTTTTTTTTTTTATACAGATATTTATAATTGGATTAAAATTATGATTTAGACTATTCAATATTTTTTGTTACCTAATTACATAAGCACAGCACATGCGCTAATTACTATAATAATAATATATAAAAATAATCATATGATTTTGAATCAAAGTCGAAAGTGAATAAATATATAAAAGTTATCCAATCCAATATCATAATACAAATTCCTCGATAATATTTACACAAATATATTTACAGATTCCATCCCCCTAAATAAAATTGCAATTTTAATCAATAGATCAATCAATCGATCAATCAATTAATCAGAACCTTGCGTAAGATATTTATACACATAATCATTTGTATTCCACGTAACTCGCCGAGACTTTTTATCTCGATTCTAATAATAATAATAATATTTTTTATTATTCATGTAAATATTTAAAAAAATCTTAATAAAAAAAAAAAAAAACAAAAAACAGAAACAAACCTGTTTATTTCGTTGCTCATTATAATCATCATGATGGCAATTATTAAAAGTTTTGTTTTTCTCAAATTCATTGTATAAACGAATGAGATGTGGATTGTCAAATATTATATCAAAATCCAAATTCTGCTCATTATGATCATTAATCAGTTCAGAAGAATGTTTTATTTTTTCTGTATTAACTTTATTTTTATATTTTATAAGGAATTTTCTTATCTTGTAAGGGAGTAATTGAAAATATATAATAAGAAGAAAAATTTTTGGACATATTAAGGTTTGTAATGAATCAAAGTTTGATTTTTTTACTAAAAACAATATATTGATTGATAATTGATAGTAAAATATTTAAAATGTTAAGTAAATGTCAATATGTTTTTTTTTTTAAAAGAATATGTATTAGTGAAAAGTTTTTAAGATTTTTTTTTTAAAAAAAAAGATATTTTAGCAAAACATCCTAAATTAATTTTATTTTTATATTTTTATTCAGTTTAAGAAAATACATTAGAACTCTTTTCGAGTAAGATAATTTGCAAATAAAAGTCTAAAATTTGAGATATGATATATATACATATATATTTATATCAAGAAATATGTAATAAATTAATTAGTTTCTGGAAGATCATTAAGAAAACTAAGTTTTTTTTGGCTTTTTACTAGCTATGAGTATATAAGAATTGTACAAGAAATAGTTTTTTATTATGATTTATTCTATTATTAGTAATAGTAAAGCTAGCTCTTGAAAATATCTTTTTATTATAAATACTCAAAGATTTAATACTAAGATAATTATATATATTTTACTAAGAATAGAAAATTTATTTGATAATAATTCAAAATTTCAGAACTCTTCTTGCTGATCATTTGAATACAAATACTCATAAATAAAAACTCATTATTATAGAGAAAACAACATAAAAAATAATACTCATAATCTTAAAAAAAAAGAAAGAGAACAAAAAGAAGCATATAGTCTCTTAAGAGGCTAAGGCCTCAAGAGGAAAAGCCAAGTAGATATAGAAGAAAACTTGAAAAACTATAAACTTTTTGTTTCTTGCGAGTATTTTTTGGAGATTGCACTTGACTCTGTTGTGTAAATCTATTTGGTTACATAAAAACAAGACACATAATAGAGAGTAAACAAAACAAATATAGAAAAAGATACGTGTCAAATAGATATGTAGATACAACAAAACCAAAAAATGAACACGTGAGGCTTAAAATAGAAGAAAACTCCGAAAGAAGATCTATAAGAATAAAAGCTATAGCAAAGCAAATATTCAACTTAAGAAGAAAGTTTAAACAATATCAAGAAAAAACAATTAAATTAGAATTAGAAAGTCTCATAGAAATAAATAGGATATAACTTAGAGTAGCAACAGATCTAGCTGAATTAATAGAAAAGAACATTTATGAGTTTTTAATTATAGAAAAGACATGATATTAGCTCAAAGAACTTAGTATAGTAGAAGCAAAACTCTGTATTAAACTTATCAAGAAAGAAGAACTTATACAGAAAATACAATGAAGAATAGATACAAGATAGATAGAAACACTCAAAGCAAAGATAATTAAGAAGCAAAAACAATGAAACCAAGAAATTATAATGAAGATTAGTCTACAGATTAAAGAAGCAACTAGAAGAGTTTTACTTAAGCAACAAAGAAGAAAAAAGAAGCTTTTAAGAGAAGAGTAAAAAGAGAAAAAAAACTCTAGAAGTAGCAAGGGAAGAAACATAGAAAAATAAAAAATGAAAAAAGGTTTAGAAGAACTTTAAGAAGAGACAAGACCAATAGTACAGGAAAAAGATCAAGATAGCCTAAAAAATAAAGAAAAGATAAAGATACAAAGAATAAAATCAACTCAAAAGAGAAAAAAAGAAAAGAAAATAAAGTTTAGATGAAATAAAAGAAGAATAGAAGCTCAAAACTCCTAGAAGAATTGGAAAAAGAAAAAGAAGAGACAATTCAAAAGATTTAACTCTAAAGAAGAATTTCGATTAGAAATACAAAAGAATAATCAAAAAAAAGCTTATAATATAGCAGAAAAAGAAATACAAAAGTGCAGAGCAAAACTAAAAGAAGAAAAGATACTTTGTTTAATCATAAGATCTGCATATAAACCTAGTAGAAAAGTTTGAAAGAAAAAAAAAAAAATTTTATAAGATGAATACTATTTGATAGATTGAAAGTAGAATAAAGGATAGTAGTTTAGAAGGTAGATTTAGAAAGATTAAAAATTTATAGATAAAGGAGGGTAAAATAGTTGAAAGAATATAAAAGTAGTCATGATAGGCTATGGCATCAATACTTAGAAAGTTGTAGTTACAGAATAGTAGCAACAATAATCTAATATAAAAGTCACTATAGCAGATCGCATATAGGTATCTATAGAATAACTAGGTGAGTTAAAACTTAAAAAATTAGATATTGAAAAGATATATAGTCATTCAATGATATTTTCTTATATAAAATAAATTCTAAATAAAGTTTTGGCATGACTGCTAAATTTTAAAAAAAAAAAATATTTGATAATAATTTCTAATATAAGATTCTATTACTTTTTTTTATTATTCTTATTTATTTTTTTTTTGTTATTAAGGCTACTTCCTTAGCTGATTAGATTTTTATTAGTTTGCTATTGCAGAACTATCACATGAATAGTTTTCTAAAGTTTTACAGTTATATGATGAGTGTACAACAAGCTACACGTACAACTTTAGTCATTATCTAATTTAAGTAGTCTGCTATACAGATGATCAACTATCTGTTGGTTCTATACTATTTTGCTATACCTGCAACCTACCTGTGAGTTACCTATTTAAATACTCTGATTATTAACTCTTCCTCTATCCCAAACTAATGTCACTACTATGACCAATCTCTTATGCTAGCTGGTTCACCTGTGGATCCATTTCTCTGCACAGCTTAGGTCCTCTCAAGATATGTATACCCAATATATTGTGAGCTGCAGAGCTCCAGTTAACCTCAGAAGTATTTCCTACTAGAGTAGTCATGTGCCTATTTCACAGATTCATCTAGATTAGACCCTTGTCAATATTTGTATAAACCTAGTTTCTGCTGTGGCTGTCCACCAGGTATAGTCCTTCAAGTTCTAGCCAGATATTTTATGAAGTAGATCTTCTCAATCTAGTTAGCTGCCAAGCCAAGTTGGTGTTGCTACTATGCAAGGTACCAGGCTACATTACACAGTAGACTTACTCACCTATTGATCTTATATTCTTTATACTTAGGTTTTTCACTAGATCAGACATTAACTAGCTTGACTGTTGAAATCCATACTACTTCACCAAACTTAGGATTTCTACTATACAGATCCTCTGCCTGTAGATCCTATCAAGATTTATTCACACAATATAACTCGAGCATTGTGTCATACTTCTAATGTCTGATTGAAATTAGTGCAATATAATTTACAGGGTTGTAACCCCCAGAAATGAGCAGAGTTTACTGTAAGTTGAGTACAAAGGTCCAGGTAATTATTTAAATTCGTCGACAGTGGGATTTGAACTTCAGACCTCTTGCATGGCAGTCTAGCAACCTAACTACTATACTAAGATTATCAGACCTTATTATTTATATATTCTTCTAAAGGTTCTTATTTATATAGTTCTATTTTATACTTAATTTAGTTTATAGTAGGTAGTAGTTTCTTTGAAGTTTGTTATATAGGAAAAAATAAATCAAAGATAAGATCATTATAATTTGTTATAGTAGAAGAAGTTAGTTTTTTTTATAATTATAAAATTAAATAAGA